TATCTCTATCCTCTGCTGCTCATTAAGCTCCCCAAACACCATCTACCTAGAATACTTCTCCCCAGATTTGTACCTGCCACTCTTTCTAACATTCCTGTAGTACTTTGCTTAAATGCCACTTTATCAGACACCTTGACTGACCAGCCTAGATGAAATGGCCACCATCACACCCAATTTTTGACACAACGCATTTCCTTGCCCTGCATTATTTTTCACCAGTTTCCCTTCTTTCATTCATTTCTCTATTCCTACCACTTGCAGTACTGTCTGTTGTTGTTAAGTATCTTCAGGTCAGTTCAGACTCATAGTTACTCTATGAACAATAGAAGAAAACACCACCTGTCTTGTGCCTTCCTCACAATTATTGCTATGTTTGAGTTCATTGTTGCGGCCACTGTGTCAATCCATCTCACTGAGGGTCTTCCTCTCTTTTGCTGACCTGACACTTTAACAATCATGTCCTTCTTCAGGGAGTGGTCCCTCCTGACACTATGTCCAAAATTCTAGCCATCAAGCCTCATCACCCTTCCTTCAAAGGAGCATTCTGGCTGCACTTTTTCCAAGACTGGTTTTTCTGTTCTTCTGGCAGCACATGGTACTTTTAATACTTTTCTCCGACACCATGGTGGCGGTGGTGGTTATGTGCTGTGGAGTAGGAATCAACTCATAGCGACCCTGTACAGGGTTTCCGAGGCTGTAAATCTTTACAGGAGCAGAAATCCTCATCTTTCTCCCACGCAACAGCTGGTAGTTTCGAACTGCTGACCTAATCGCAGCCCGATTCGTAACCACTATGCTACCACCATAATTCATGTATATTAATACTTCTTCAGATTTCCTTATTAATGGTCCAACTTTCACATACATATGAGGTGATTGAAAATACCGTGGTTTGGGTTAGACTCACCTTAATCCTCAGACTTACATCTTTGCTCTTAAACACTTTAAAGAGGTCTTTTGTAACAGATTTGCCTGATGCAATACATCCTTTGGATTCTTGACTGCTGCTTCCATGAGTGTTGATTGTGGATCCAAGTAAAATGAAGCCTTTGACAACTTCAATCTTTTATCCATTTATCATGATGTTATTCATTGGTCTAGTTGTGAAGAATTTATTTCCTTTACATTGGCATGTAATCCATACAGTAGACTGCTGTCTTTGATCTTCATCAGTATTTCAAGTTCTCTTTACTTCCAGCAAGCAAGTTTGTGCCATCTGCATACTACACATTGTTAATGAGTCTTGCTCCAATCCTAATGCCATGTTCTTCTTCATATAATCCAGTTTCTCATATGATTGACACAGCATAAAGACTGAATAAGTATGGTGAAAGGATACCACCCCGATGCACACCTTCCCTGATTTAAATAATTTACAATCCTCTTGTTCTTTTCAAGTGACTGCCTCTTTGTCTATTACAGGGTCCTCATGAACACACAAGTGTTTTGAAATACCCATTCTTCACAATACTACTCATGGTTCATTATCCTCCATATAGTCAAATGCCTTTGCATAGCCAATGAAGCACAGTTAAGCTTCTTTCTGGTATTCTCTGCTTTCAGTCAAGCTTCATCTGACATCAGCAATTATATCCTTCATTCCATGTACTCTACTGAATCCGGCTTGAATTTTTTGCAACTCCTATTGATATAATGCTATAATTATTTTTGAATTATCGTCAGTAAAATTTTACTTGCATGCCATATTAATGGTATTGTTTGAAGATTTCCATATCCCACTGGGTCATCTTTCTTTGGAGTGGGTTCAAGTATGGATCTCTTCCAACCAGTTGGCCAGGTAGCTGTCTCCCAAATTTTTAGGCATGGATAACTGAGCACCTTCAGTGCTACATCAGTTTATTGAAATGTTTTAATTTGTATCTGTCGGTTCCTGGAGTCTTGGTTTTTGTTAATGCCTTCAATGCTGCTAGGACCTCTTCCTTCAATACTCTTGATTCTTGATCATAAGGTAGCTCTGGAAGTGACTGAATACTGAACAATTATTTTTGATACAGTGACTGTGTATTCTTTCTGTCTTCTTTTGATGTTCCTAGTACCATTCAATATCTTGCCCATGTTGTTGTTGTTTTAAGTGCCGTTGAGTCAATTCTGACTTATAACAACCCTGTATGAGGTTTCCAAGGAGCAGCTAGTGAGTATGAACCACTGATCTGCTGTTCAAACCAACCTTGCAGTCCAGTGCTTATCTTACAGCACCACTCCAGAACTCCATTTTGTCCACAGAATCCTTCAATATTGCTACACGAGGCTTGATTTTTTTCTTCAATTCTTCAGCTTGAGAAATGTTGAGTGTGGTCTTCCCTTTTGGTTTTTAATTCCAAGTCTTTGAAAATTTCCTTATAACATTTGACTGCCTTCTTGAGCTGTCCTTTAAAATTTTCTGTTTAGCTCTTTTACTTCACCACTTCTTGCAGTTGTTTTAGTTTTTCTATGATCAAGAACAAGCTTCAGAGACTCTTGTGACATCCACTTTGATACTTTCTCTTTTTCCTGTCTTTTTAATGACTTTGTGTTTTCTTCATGTATGATGTTTTGATATCATCCCACAATACTTCTGGTCTTCAGTCCTTAGTGTCTCAGACATCAAATCTATTCTTGAGTGGGTCTCTAAATTCAAGTGGGATACACTCAAGGCCATATTTTGCCTATATTGGATTTCTTTTAATTTTCTTGAGTTTTATCCACAGCTTATATATGAGCAATTGATGGTCTGTTTCACATGCAGCTCTGGATCTTCTTTTGACAAATGTTATTGAGCTTCTCGATCATCTCTTCCAACAGACATAATCTGTTTGATTTCTGTGTATTCCATCTATGTGTGTAGTAACATTTTATGTTGTTGAGAAAAGATCATTGCAATGAAGAAGTCATTGGTCTTGCAAAATTCTATCATGTGATCTCTAGCATCATTTTTATCAAGAAAACTCTATTTTCCAACTATGGAGTCTTCCCCTTTGTTTCCAACTTTTGCATTTTTTCAAAATGTTTTATTGTAAATTAGCTTTACATTACTTTACATTCAACCTATCATATATTGTTACATTGCCATGGTTACAATCTCCTCCATGTATCACCAACCAACCAAGTGGTACACACCACAAGCCTGCCCCCTCGTCATCAGCACACAACCCCTCTCCAACTCTGGGTCTAAAGTTCTCAGTCACTCCATCTCTCCACGTCATTGTCTCTGCCTCAGTCTCTGGTGTCACTGTTTCTCTAGGTAGAGTCCCGCACTCTGTTCTTCAACCTAGATGGTCCCAGGCCCTTCTGCTCCTGGACTGCAAAGTCAATCACTCCCTTCTTTTTGCTACAAAATGTCTACCTTTATATTTCCAATCCTCACAGTCAGTCCTGATAGTAATTATTCACTACTGTACAAAATGAGTGCTATCCAACGTCCTTTCATCAGCCCTGCCCAGACAGATTGGATACTACTCAGTGGAGATTCTACCTTCCTCCACACCCTCTGGATCTAGGCTCCCTCTTGAAAGCTTGTAAGCCAGTCACTTCTTGCCTTTTCACCAATGCATCTTGATTGCAT